TCTCTTATCTTACCCCTCTTTATATCTCTATCTAACCCGTAAATTATTTAGGTTAAGTTTAAGCTACCTTTATAATAGGTCTAGCCTAGGCTTAAGCTAGTAGCTTAAGCCTATAATAAAAAATATAGTTTTCTTATTAATACTCTACGTAGCATAGACTACGCACGCCCTTAAGAAGATACTAATTAGGTATAAGGTTATAGGCAGAGCATTAACAAGGAAACTACATTTTCATTTTTTAAAAAAGCTTAAATAATTAATAATAAATCTAATAAAATACTTGAATTATAATAATAAATACATAAAATAGCTAATATTATAGCCAATTAGCTTATTTAAAAAAGTGGGTCCCTTTAGCTTTTTGTAAGCTTAAAAACTAGATTATATAGTTTTCTAAAAACTTACTACACTACACTACACTACAAAAACTACAAAATGTAGTTTTTGAAGTTTTAGGCTTATAATAGTATATAAGGACCCACTTTTTCTATTATAAGCTTATAATTTTAGATTTATGCCATTTTATAGTTTTTATAGTATAGTATAGTATAGTATATTTTTAGAAAATTATATAATCTAGTTTTTAAGCTTATAATAAGCTAAAGAAACCCACTTTTTTATATAAGTTAATTAGTTATAATATTAGTTAATTTATGTATTTATTATTATAATTTAAGTATTTTATTAGATTTAGTATTAATTATTTAAGCTTTTTTAAAAATTGAAAATGTAGTTTTCTTGTTAATGCTCTGATAGTTGCTAACTCGAGATACTTTCTTCGATGGTCCTTTCATGTAAAGGGTAGTGGCCCCGTCAGATACGACGTATCTTTATACCCAGAACTAGCTCCAGCACAAGGAATTATTATTAATCTTGGGTACAAGGTATAGGTAGTTGCTAACTCAGGATACTTTCTTTGATGGTCCTTTCATGTAAAGGGTAGTGGCCCCGTCAGATACGACGTATCTTTATACCCAGAACTAGCTCCAGCACAAGGAATTATTATTAATCTTGGGTACAAGGTATAGGTAGTTGCTAACTCAGGATACTTTCTTTGATGGTCCTTTCATGTAAAGGGTAGTGGCCCTGTCGGATATAACGCATCTTTGTACCCAGAACTAGCTCTAATACAAGGAATTATTATCGATCTCCTTAGCCGACTGCCAGCTCCTCCATCTGCAAGTCACGGCTACCACTGCTTTATGGACGATCTTTTTAGTACACCAGACCTAAAATATTCGAGTTCTTGAGGTACCAAGGTTCTGCTGCTACAGGTACCACGCGTCTTAGGAGGATTGATAGCCGCAAGATAACAGAGCTAAAAACTAAATATAGATCTAACTTCATCCAAGGATATTGTCGTATAGGGTACTAGGTACTCTTCACGTAAGGAAGCATAAGACTAAAGACGTTATACAATTTGCTTTTAAGGATAATGTATTAGTACTTACTATAAGTATACGCTTTACTAGATTCAAGTCTTTAATATCGAGACTACGTAGACGACCTGGGAAAACGTCCACGAGTGCCAAACTGTAAGAGTACCCTTTAAAGGCGAACTAACAAAGATGCTACAGATGCCACGACTTATTGATGGGTATTTTAGCACTCAAGGTAACTTGTATTTGTATGGATTTACCATGTATATATATGTACCGGTGGCCCGCTTGTGTAAGTAGTTTTTGGTGTTTCCGATTAGTTACCCGTAAGCGAGATTAGGGTGGAAACAGTGTGGCAATTATAAAAAATTCATGCGCGCACTACATAAGTCATGGCATTAATGCGCGAACCTACTAAGCGGGCCGGCCCTACGCATTAATAAGCACTGAGGCAATATACATATGCGTAGCCCCACTTGCAGCGGGCCTCGCGACTGACGGCGCCCACAAGCTCCGACACAATGGTTATGGTTAATGTTCCTTTAATGTTATAAATCTCAAGTGCCGGGCTCCGTTCCGTCCACCACTTGGCCCACCGAATGACTCGTCGAGACTCAGCCCGGGGCCTTCTTTCTAATAAGAGGGCATATTATTGCGGCATTTGCTCCTACCTGTAGCAAAAGTGGAATGCACACTCCAATAGGAGCGGCGTTGTTATGCATTTGATTGGTACACTGACACATATGACTGTAGGCTGAGTGATGGGCCAGGTCGCGAGTAATGCTAGACGATGTTTCAACGCGCGAGGGACTGGGGAGACCGAAATTACATGGACATGGCGGATTTATATGCACATAGTGTTACGCGTCAGCTAGCATCATCATGACAGCATCACACCAGCACATCGAGACCTATCGACGGTTCCACGTGCGTGCTGCGTTTCTCCCCCCCCATCCCTTTCTCGGTACGTGATGCATGGTGCAGCTATATGCTATCCATTCTTTAGCATAATATATGCTTAGTGGGGGAGATTACGGTATCAAGAGATGAAATGGGATAACCGACTATGCTGTCAAGATGAGTTGACTGTTCTTGTGTGTTACGTAGGTATATAAAGACAGTCAGGATCCTCTCTTCCTCCATGCCGAGCTCTTACAAGCAACCAACACATATTTCGTCTACCAGTCACATCTACATACTACAGCACTTCATCATGAGCTTCTCCATCACCCCACGAGTCTTTTCCGTCTTGTGCCTGGCGGTTGCATCTGTTGCCGGCCAGTGGAGCGGAAATTACAACACGACGAGCGTGCCGCGCCGTCTGGACCCTGCGGCCAAATGCTGGATCAAGAGCCTGGCCCAGAGGCCCTACACGGCCATCTACCCGTGCACCTGTACTGGCGGCGAGGTCTGGCCCGACTGCAATTGGCAGGATGCGTTGCTTTTCAACGCTGTCAGAAATGCAGACTGCAGGTGTGCCACGACGGGAGATCTACAAAACGAGCCTGAGAGCCTGAAGGCGTATGGCCAGAAGAAGCCTAACGCGGTGACGCAGTGCCTCTGTGATCCCGTGGCCGGCAACGAGGCCGACACCGATGGGTTGGTTGTGCCAGCTCCCGACTGCTGGTGCCCGGCCCAGTCTCTTAAAGAGAAGAGCGGGTTGTCCGAGGCCAAGGAGAGCCAGGTCGTTCCGGAGACGCCTCCTTGCGGCGCATCTATCCAGCAGTGCCGCGACGAGTTGAACAAGAGCGGCCATCCTCCGAAGAACGTCTGCCAGCATTTAATGCAGTATAAACCTACGGAAATTTCCGAACCTCTTAAGAGCCGTCTACCAAACTGCAGCATTTCTTCCCTCACTGAAGTCTGTAAGGGTATTTAACAAGACGAATAAGTCAAGGTGTTATGGGCTCGTGCTGGAAGCTCGGGCCTAGGCTGGGGCCTTTACGGAGCTAACCCGTACCTGGTCCGGGTAATTCTTGGTCTAGGCGTCGATATGATAGGAGGAAAATGAAAAAAAAAGTTTATTTTTACTTTCAGTAACGTATACGTATTACGTGCAGCCGCAGGTATTCCCAGTCCTTTACAAGAAGTTACCTTTATTACATGTATTTACTATAACTTACTACTATGAGAAATATACATGTATATACTATAAAAATATAAATCTCTACGCATTTAGCTTATACTATGCCTAACTAATTAAACTCTCTTAACACCGCCCCTTAGGTATAGCAAAGGGGTACAGGTGTCGCGATTCTGCGATATACAGTAAACCAGGTCTATAACGATATCCTTCGTAAGGCTTTTTTCATTATAATAAGGCGACATTATTAAGGTGTAACTATTATAAAGCTTATACCTTTAATTAAATTTACTAGGTAAATATATATAATAATATTATAAGGTATATATACAAAGATCGTGTTTTTTTTTTACCGCGTTACGAGCTTTCTGCCAATCGTGCTAAAGCCGCTATTAAAGCTATTAAAGCTATCAAAGCTGTTAAAGCTATCAAAGCTGCTGTTAAAGCTGCTGTTAAAGCTGCTATTAAAGCTTATCGCGGCCCTCGTTAACACGCCCGTTAACACGCCCGTTAACGCGGGCAAAAAAGAGCTTAATTTAATTTATATTACGTGCTATAGCTAGAAGAGCCTCGTAGCGGTTATTCTAATTCTTAAGCTAGCGTTTACAGCTTTAAATATTACTACGTAGCTTTAATTTTCCCTATTAATTAGTGTATATATATAATATTAAAGGAAGAAAAACGCGTTAAAAGCTACGAAATTTAGCTCTTATAATAAAGGCCTAATAATAATAAAAATACTAAACTATATAGTAATTAAGCTTAAGGCTAATAATATTATAAGTAACCTAATTATTAATAATTTATTAGAGAAAACCCTTAAATAACCGTGAATTATCGTAAAAACCCCAATATTACTAAGATATAAGATTATTATAGATATAGTTTACTGTAGTTAAACTACTAAACGTACGAGTATTCTTCTAATAGAAGTTATAGAACCTATTAATAGGTTAAAGATACCTTAAGTGTTTCCTATTTTGTATAAAGATTAATATAGTCCTATTATATACTAATACTCGCGTAAACTATTATTTTTATAAAGAGTAATCTTTAGTATCTCCTATTATAATCCTCACGTCTCGTAGTTATCTTATAATATCTATTACGCCCTAAAACGAATCTTTGTAGTTATACAGACTATAGTCTATAACCCTAAGGTTATACAGAGCGTATTTCGTATCGTGTAGGCAGAGTATTAGAAGTAGTGTAGTTTTATAGTTTTTAGTGAATTTTAGTATAGCATAATATAGTGTAATTTTACTATACTATATTACATTTTAAAAATTAATGTAATATATAATATTAATTAAGTTATAAGCTTTTATTAATTAATATAATTAGTAAGCTAAAATAAA